GTACACTTGTAAATTATTATTACCAAAAGGTCATGGTTCGAGTTTTACATTTATAGTATGTTCCGATTTTACTGACTTATACTGTATAAGGTAAAGGATGGCTATAAATAGCACTGTTGCTTCTGACAATTAAGTACGTATTGCACGTTTGCAACGTATTTTGAAAAAGAGAACGCTGAAAATAAAAGATTTTTACACGTTCATCTTTTTCCGGCTGCCAATCAGAAATTCTTTTTCGGGCCAGACACGATAACAGCGGGACTCAGTTGTTCCAAGTTCTGTTGCAAACAGATCTGCATTCTATAGTTTGGATATAACAAAGCTTCCATACGTGTGCTATTAATGTTTATGCTCATGCGAACGGAAACAGATGTAGTTTGCGTTTATTGTTCTGTAATCCAAACTGCTCTCTAGTAATAAACTTTAAAAATGCAGCAAAGCGAGATGTTAACTTAACAAAACCACAAACCGTTCACACTGGCTCTCCACTGCGACTGTGCCAAGAATACCGGCAGCATTTCCACGCGGCGTCTGCATCTCTAAACTACACATACAGTGTACCTGGGAAGTGTATTGACAGTCTTTGGTGGTATGTTGGAAAGTGTGATAACGGAGAGGGATGTCCTTGGAATGTTATGAACTGTATGTATTAGCATGCGGCTAGACGGTCTCATTCAGTGTTAGTGCGCTTCTGGCGAAAATGATGGAATCATTCTGACTTTACGATCGGTGCAGAACACGGTTTACGATGTTAAAACGACTTAACATTCGTTGTTGAAGTTTATCGTAAAAGGTCATTGACATAGCTGCATAGACACGGGTAAAAAACTGGTGCCGAAACCAGTTCTGGAAACGTACGGAGTTTGGGATTCATAGTTGCCATTAATTCCTGATACGCGGTACGTCTGTTTTTTGCTGTGTATACAATACGCAGCAGTGGTAATTTTAGTCTAATAATTTTGCGGTATAACCTGTTGATAGTAGTTATTCCTGTGTGTTGTAACACACTGTGGATTATCATCAGGCCGATTTTGCGGTTTTATCTGCCCTTTGTTCCCAATGTTGTCCACAGTCTGGAACGAAACGTGAGTAAATACCTTCCCGTTCCCCTGCTAAATACGTTAGGTTGCCAGAATGTCTATAAGTGGAACCACTTCATCGACCCACCTGCCCACTTACACCACCCAGCCAATAACCACGGCAACCCATACAAAATCATCCACGGGAACCGACAGCGCGCAGAGTTGGTCAAATACGGACGCATCTTCCAGTTCTCCACGAGCAGCAGGTACGACTCGCTCCCGCCTGGGGCCCTGCGCAAGCGTTATTGCGCCGTCCGCCCGATGGTGCGTGGATCTGGTATCCTGGACAGACTGTCGACCGAGGGGACTACCGCAACCAGGATTTTGAATGCGTTCAAGTGACGCTGCCCGACACCATCCAGGAGCTGGTTCCCCGCGGCCAGGTTCGTCCCCCGCTCGCGGATGGGGATTGGGAGGTGTGTCGCGTGATGGAGAAAGACTTTGTCGTCTGCTGTGCTTAGCTGCCTGATGCGTATCGCGCCAATGCGTGGCATTCAATAAAGGAGATCTTCAAAAGAGACGTAGCGAAACGCTTCCACACCGCGTGTATCTCGCTCTGTCCGCGAAAGATGACGCTCCGCTACCTACAGCTTCAAGAATCCCGTCCGCTGACATCTAGCCAACTGGTAAGAATCTTCATAAAAATAAACTGAATAAAAAATGAAAAGACTCGACACTGAGGTTTATTAGTGTCTACAAATAAAGACACAAAGTACAAAGACGTAATTCTGTATTTAAAGTAATTACAGTACTGCTTTCTCCGTGGTTAGTCATTATTGGTATAGGTCAATTGCATTTGGGTAACCAATGCGCGTCGGGTAACGGAGAAACAGTTAAAAATCTGTCCATGACTCAGCGAAAAAAATATCGTCCAATCGTAAGGCGAGTACGCTTCCGTGCCAAGAAAGAAATTGAACAACGGAAAAACTGAAGTGAAACTGAAAAATCTGTTTTTGATGCTTTAATGCGGTAAAACGTCAAAAAAGTTGGTTCTGAGTTTAGAAGTGTGAATCTGGGTCGCTGGATGCACTTTTGGTTCAAAAAAACAAAAATTTTGTTGATCTGTGCAGGAGAGTTACGAGTTACTCGTAGTTTGGGTAACGGTTGCGCTTCGACGTCGAAGCGCAACGGTTACGCGGACGGGTAAGCTGAAAACCCATCCCAGAATTCTGGTTTACCAATCAAATCGTTTACCTGCTTACGCGCCGTGACGTCATGTTTTTTTACCCGACTGCCGCTTGCGCGTCGCGTAATGCTTACACAAAGCAATTGACCTATGCCATTAAGTACTAGGCTAGTGGGCTTCATTTCGATACTCTGCATTTCCTATACGGCTGTAGTCTAGTGTGTATTAAACTGATCATAATTAATTTGCTTTTATTTTGATTCAGCTAATTATAATTTAAAATTGACCAATTTTACTAAGCAAAATCAAAATTGTGACAAGGAATGTTTAAGACTATGCTTGACTAAAACCGACTTCTTTTAATGACCACGCGTTGATTAGTCCATAAAAACCGCGCGGATATACGTTTTGAACGGTAGGATTCTATTAATATCATAAAGATTCATATGTGCGTCTTCGAAACCCAGTAAACCGACGCTGCAGTTTGATTTCCCGCTTCGCTTTGGTCTTTTAATGCCACGCAACGGTGTTTCGACTCCTTAGTACCCTGATGCTCCACGTACGTACTTATTGACCTCTTACATTATCACATGGCTGCTGCTGATTGTAGGAAAACGTTCACGCATGGGCGCAAGAGAAGGCAACATGGCATCGTCCATCCCGAACAGCGCAGCCGACGATCATGAGCCCAACCGATCCATCCGAAAGTGACGATGGCATGCCGCTACCGCCGGTGCTGCTGCTGGAGATCTTCCGCTCGCTGGACTCAATCAGGCGCTTTCGCTGCCGACGAGTGTGTCCGTTGTGGAACACTCTGCTAACCACCGACGGACATTTTCCCGATGTGTGGGTGTCCGGGGTTCATGAAGAGTATGGCGCGCTGCCCCATTATTCGGACGACTACACGTATTGGCTGGTGGCTGGTGTGCTCAAGTGTTTGCGCTACACTACCAGGATCGTGGTTCTTACACAGCTGCGCAGTCTCAACTTGGCTCAAGCCATCCACATGTCCGGCCTCCTCAAGTGCTTGCTCAGCAGCGGCCGCCTACGGGCAGTGGTATTTCACGGTTGTGCTTTCCACGTGGGCGCCGGCATTCCTTTCTCCCATTTTTTGGGCACCGTGGCGGATCTGATCGTTGGATGTTTGCCGCTGGCCGACCGAGTCATTCTGAATAAGGTTAGCCTGGAACATGACGGTTTGGAGGCGATTGTAGCGCTGCATTCCTTCAGCGGGCAGTCGGATAACGAAATTGAACTGAAGATGTGGGATCTCTTCGAAAGCGGTCTCGTTCTCCGAAAGCCGCTGAATCGTTCGGCAGTGGCGCAGTGGATCGATGGCTGCAAGACGCAGGATGCCATGGTGGACGAGAACGAGAGCGAAAACCGGATTATGAAGGTACGTTGTCTTTGCTCTTCTTTTGCGGTTAGTACGCATTGCGGTTCGCATGGACAGTTAGAAATTTCCAGGCAATAGCCGCCTACCCATACGGTGGTTCAAGTGGTCCGCTATGGTGAGCCTATACATAACACTAAATTCGGGTACATTCACAGGAACTTCGCTTTCGAACACTTCCAGACACGTTTTCGAGTTGCTTTTTGACCTTGTTTAGCCAAATGATTTGTCTTCCTATACTCTGTGTTCTTCAAAGTAGGCGTAAACTCCGTTTGCGCGCGCAACATCCGGCGTGCAATATAATTTATTTTCGTGGCTCTTGCCTAATTGATTTTTCGAATTTGGTATCGGGTCGCTTCGGTTTCACGACAGCTACAGTCAAACCGACTCTTGCGCGGTTTAAACAAAGCAGTAGAACACGCTTCTCCAGTTAAACCCCTGATTTGTCAATTGCCGTGAACTGTCTGTTGACTGTGTGATAATTTCTTCTGGTAGACTTTGTGCTACTACCGGTGCTCGGATCCGCGTCAACCCATCCATTACCCGCATCACGTGTGCAACATGGCGAACCCATCCAATTTTGATGTCTCCAAGCTAACCACATTGACAACATTAGTGTTAAACGAACGGTTTGGAAACGATGATCCCAACGGAGCACCGTGAACGGTCTGCGTTGACAAACATCTCGTGGCTCACTTCCAACCAGCGGTGCTGGCTAACCTTTAACGCCTTTCTGTCTGTTTACGAGCGGAACGGCTGTTTGGTTTTTATTTTGGCTGTTTACTTAAATATAAGACTAAGAAAAGTGGATGTTGTGTTTTAATGCGTACTGCGCAGTTGCTGACAGAAGTACTTAGCGGCTCGAAATAACGCCGTCTTGTGTTTTTCGTTACCCGGATAGACCTCGCCCGGGCACCTAACAGCTTAGTAAACTGAAAGAAATTTTAAAAGCTGCATTTTAACTTTGTGAGCCATGACACCGGGATGCGCACCAAATAGTTTCACGAAATGATAACTGAGTGCGATGGCTGAGCAAACCAAAATATTATACCATTAAAGGTCGTTTTAGGTACTCCTAATATTCCATACAAACCTGCGAAATGTTTTTCACTCTCAACTACAGGTCCGTGAAATTTAATGCACTGCTTTATCACGTATGTACTGGAAACGTAAAGCAGTCCTTACTTGCGGCAACATCCTACTAAGTACAGTACCAACAGCATAGAGAAAGCGCAAATTCGCAATATTGTTAGAACGCTAACATCCGTATAAAATATGCATGTATATATACACACAATTTTCTTTGTGTTACATCGAAATTTCTCTACGTGACATTGAAATGGATAATCAAATGAGTGAAAATCTACCCAGGATGGAAGCGTATGTTCTTCTTCTCAACTCAGAACGGCTGCGATTGAATGCGTGTGCGTCGAAACCGACTCCATAGACGGATATAACCGTTTTTGGTGGTTCGCATCAGATCGGTCATCCAGAAGTACACGACGGAATTCGTAGCGCTACTGCCATGCGCTAAAATCAGCCCCACGTAGGAATACCATTTGGGAAAATGAACCCAGGCGCCACAAAAAAAATACCGATCAGCAGCCATGATGCCAGGAATATAGTAAACATTTTAAAAAGCGCCTGCAGCAGCTTCATTTCTCCTTGAACACCGCTGACCCTCGTCTTGGGGTGGATGACCTGTGCCTTTGGGTTATAGCTAACTGGATCGGAATCCGCGCCTATAATGTCACCATTAACGTCAGTCGTTTGTAATCAGAACAAAAGTAAGAAGAAATTGCACAAAAATTTGTACATGTTAAAGACTAAGTCATCAATACGTCCAACCAAACTTGAATATCTGTAGAAGCATACCACTAAATATCCTAAATGTTCACAGCTGCATAAAACAAAAGGCATTCATTTAAAAAACAGAATCAAAATAAGTTTTGAGAAAAATTCAAGACCTTTTTAGGTTAATAGGATAAATCTACGGGACGTCGAAAACCGGTGCTCAGGTGGCGGGGTATTTACGTGAATGCTTTCAAAAAACTTAGAAATTACCAATGGCGGCGCTGGTCGGCATTTGGTTTTTGTTGCCCGTAAGATGGCGGCGTCCAGCACGACTACGACGGACTCGCAGATAGATCTTTAAGTACGCGTAGAAGCTGATGCCGATGGGAACGAGAATGGCGCTCATCCCGTAGAAGACCGAGTACGACCACAGACCGAGTTCGGCGGTACACAGGTAGAGGTCACCGGAGTAACTAGTGTGGCCCCAACCGAGGACATTTGGCAGATGGATGCTGTGGGCAATAATCCACAAGCAGATTATCATTAGTGCGACGCGGGGCGGGGTGAACATGTTCCGGTACACGGCATAGTGGCAGATGCAGATATACCTGAGATAAGAAACCGAAAAAATGCCTGAGTGCAACGCTGCAGCAGCCAAATGCAGTACTTTGACTTCGCTCGCAAACTGGTCAAACAGCTGACAGACGAAACAATGACCCGACCGTTTGTTGGAAGGGCAAACGACTTTTTGTGAACACCGACAACTTGCTGACGACATTTTGCTGGGTTGAGAAACCCATGAAAATTAAGAAGCCTAAGAAATCAGAGAATCCTATGAAAAAACAACAAAGTGTTAAGAAAACTCGAAAACCAACGTACAAAACCGAAACGCAAGTTGTTGTTCCAGAAGTACAGTATGATTCGACAAAACGTCGGTCAACAGTTTAGTATACAAGCGAATTGTCGGTCGGCTATTGGTCGCCCAGCAGATTGTTCGGTCAGCGAATTCAGTTCGCTGACCGACAAATGTTGGCGAAATGACGTGCTACTGTTGTATGTTCTTGCGGTTTAAGCACGTGCAGCGTCCGCACCTGTTGTTCTCGGTAAATTTATCTGCTTATCGTGGATTTGGCTGTTCGAGACGTTGAATAGAAGACTTTTTTAACACATAAAAGTGATAAAAATTAACTTTAGGAAATCTCAGGGATAATTATAGGAAATCATAACACAAAAGTGATCGAAGTGCTGTGCCGTAAGTTCCTTCTGACCAATCTGCGAGCGAAGTCGAAGTATTCATATTATCTGGTTTGATCGGTTAGCTGGAAACGAGCATATCACAGTTCTAGTTGGAAGCGTTTTAGGATAGTCTGCGTCCATTCACAGAACTAACACCTCGCCTTTTTTTTCTTGCGAATTGTGTATCGCATGCAGATAAACCAGTATGATCATTACCAGAAACAACGCGCTCTCCCTGTCATTAGGCCGGAAATAAAGCGAACGTGAACCATACTGGATGAGGGTAATTAGTAATTTAGTGGTATATGTCACTGCATGCTCGATGATGCAGCTTGGAGCTCTGCAGAGCATGCAGTTACCGGATACAATTACGCCTTCCGGTTGTTGGGTTCGGTGGATGTTTTGGGAATCTTGCATAGCTGAGACAATCTATTTGGGTCGAGTGTCGATTACCAGACTGCCGTTGCAGTGCCCTACCTCTCGACGCTGATGGCCATGATGCACCAGATTGACCCGGCACAGGATGACGCGCAGATGGTGCCGCCCAGTTCGCAGAACCACGGATGGTCACGGAACATTGTCGGACCACGAAGAGTTGCTGTAGTTAAATAGTTTTATACACAAATGCACTTGCAACTGGATTCATTTCTAACGGTTTTACACCACACTTTACAGCGGCAAATTGGCTCACAAGTCACAGATACCTGAATTTTCTCGAATAAATATTGAAAAAATTTTAAAAGCATACAGATTATTACTTTTACCTAGTATGTTCACTGGAATAACAACTCCGGTCACCAGCATATCCGCAGCCGCTAAATTTCCAACAAAAGCGTATTCGATTTTGTGCAGTTCAGGAAGCAAGAGTAGCGAGACGATCACCTAGAAATTATAGCAGTCGTGGTATAGAAGTATGCGTCTAAACAAGCAGCTTCTGATTAAAACAGCTTTACGATATTTCCAGCTGAAATCCTTACTATCATGTTGGCAAGAGTGCCCAGCACCGCAAAAACGTTCATCACCGTGACGTAAAAGTAGTTCATAGCGGATTGGTGGAACCATTGTTGTTGGAATTCAATCAGATGAGATTCCCATAACGTTAAATTTGTAGCCGTGTAAACACTTTTATTCGGCATTTTCGTTTTACCACAGGAAATCGAAATCGAGGCAGAAATAATTTATTTATTACTACTGTATTGTCACTTCTATGCTAAGAACTATAACGGGCGCCAACAGGATTTGTACGAGAGGTAAAAAGTCTTATATATAGTTGTAGGGCAAAATTCAAAGAGGATTTCTTCGTTTTTAAAGAGAATGGGCTAGGTGATGTAGAAATCATAGACACGAGAAGCCACAACACTCGGATTATGCCGCGCAAAAGAGCGGGTGTTTTAAATAATGTGCACAACTGCAGATTATTATTGGGGAGGACAGACAGGACTGGATAAGGAAGAGCGGCGGATAAGGCGGGGCGACAGCGGCATAGAAACGCCGATAGATTGGTTGATGCCAGTGATTCTTCGATTGTACGTGGTAGTGCTTCGTATCGCCCACGCAAATTAAAAATCGATAACTCAGACTACTGGGTAGATAAATTACCGTTAGATATATAACGGGTGTGGTCTCACCACCACCGAGCCGGAAAAACTATGACTTAAAAGGTACAGAGAATTACCGGGCACTTTAATATTTTCTTCCCCAAATTTTAAGGTTAATCATCCATGAAACATAATCTATAAAACCACGATCTATAATGTTTAAGTTGTCTTCTGATATGATCATCGAACGTGTTGGGCTATCTGTCTGATCGCAGTTGAAGCAAAATGTGAACTCTGCGTTTGCTGTGGACCTAAAGAAGCTCATAACGAAGTCGTGACTAATTTTTTTTTTGGAAAAGTATCCCAAACTGCGCATCTTAACCAGCACATCATTTTCTCTGCAAGGCGCTCCCGTTCTGGAAAACGCTATCGGCCCAGCAACCGTGGGAAAAGCCACCGTGTTAAAAATGGTATGCACGCGAGTGGATTCTCTCCCACGGCACCAAGCGTTTATCAGATGGCGCTGGCAAAGCGCGCATCGTCCATCGACAGCGGAACAAAAGCAGACCCGGATGAAGGCTTTAATGCCGAAATCTCACACACACCGCGCTTTGCGCGCAAGCCAAAAACCAACTGGTCTCTCTAAGCAGCGCAGCTGCCTTACAGGGCCATCAAAACGCATGAAAATGCCCAGACAGGAAAAAACCAAAACCAACCAACGACAGAAAGGCTGAATCATAAGCCCGCCCTGACACGTTGTTCCTCTTCGTGAATTGTCTTGGCGTCCCAAAGATATACATACTGCCCGCAACTGTGCAGGCGGAAGTCAGACAGCCAGGTTGTACGAGATTCTGGAAAGATTCATTTTTGCTGCTCTCGCGTTTGAAATGCTCGGTCCCTGCGGGGAAGTCGGTATCTGTTTTAGCGAAGCAAATCGGCAAACGGTTAACGCAGCTTACTGGTGAACTTCGCTCACTCGAATTCCTTCGTCAGCGCTTGTTGATTGAAATCCAAAGAGGCACCGCAGTTCTCGTTCAAGTAACCATGGAGGACGCCGAGCAGTTAAAGGAAATATTTTGTTGTACTTATGAACTCTGTTCTCATTGTAAACCTGATAAGTATTACTGGCTTGCGCTAACGAAGAGAAATACTGCTACACCGCAGAATGTGTCCTGGTATTGACAGATAACGTGCAACAACGTTTAAGTGGTACCGGTAGGTTTGACAATCATTATAGCCTACAGGAAGCGATCCATTCCGACATCGCTGTTATTATCAACGAGCGACTATTACGGTAACAATAACCGGATTTGTCGTACCTTATACCGTATACGGCAGCAACGTGTAAGGTTTGCCAATGTTGAAACCACGTTTTGAAACCACGTTGGCTTACGGTTACCTACGGTAGATCATTTACCGTAGTCGTTTCTTATACGCTTCCTTACGGTTTGACCGTACCGTATACGGTTTGCGACCTCTAGCTTGGATTGCGATAATATTATCAAAACGAGGTAGTTTCTTAACACTTTGTTGCGCTCGGACTTTTGGATAATTCGGTTTTCCTTATTGGAACGATTGGGACTTGGTCGTCTTGGAAGGATGGCAGGCGTCTCTTACGGCTCATCTGAGTGATTAAAAACAAGTACTGCATAATATAATAACTTCGTCAACTTCGGCGTCAAATTCGATTAGAGATATAAACAAAACGTCAAGCTCGCACAGCAGACCGTAACTGCATAGATGGTAGCGTTGAAAAACGGTATTGTTCGTTCAAAAACAGATGAAGGTGAAAGCAAATGCTTCGCAAAAGAATATTCTGTAGTCAGCTGAAAAAGTAACGCCTGGTAATAAATAATGGCCGATCGCCAAATGTGCGGTCGTCTACCGTGCATGTGCGAACGTGCGACATGCGCTGCACTTGTGCTCTCTGCGCAGGCTCGATTCTGGCGTCGAAATGCACGCCACGCATTTCTGTTTTGGTTCGTCGGCATTTTTGTACGAGTATTTGGTTATCTTCAGTATTTTCAGTTTTTGGTTTTGTATTTGCACCAAAGTTGTTTAATCAAAGTTGTCCGGTAAATTGAGATCGTAACTCACTTCGCCGGGATTTGGAATCTGACTAGTGCGATCCCCACCGCTCTGCCTGCGTGACGCAGCATGCACCTATACGGAGACGATGAGCACTCCGTAAGCGCGTGGAACTCCGTGGACGTCCTTGTCGATGGACTCCTGCAGCACGGTGAAGTCATCGACGTAGCCAAAGGCGGTCTCATCATTGATTTTCGATGTGCTGGACAGCGCGCGCATTTGGTCAAGCACAGAAGTATCTTCCTCTTCACCACTAGCAGAAGCAAGGAAATGCTCGTGCCAGCGGCCGCCGTGCAAGTATTACTGCACCGTCCGCTCGATGGTTCGTGGATCTGGTACCCTGCACAGATGGTCGACCTGAGAGACTACCATAATGAGGATTTTGTACGCGTACAAGTGTCGCTGCCCGACACCATCCAGGAGCTGGTTCCCCGCGGCCAGGTGCGCCCACCGCCCTCGGACAGGGATTGGGAGGGATGTCGTGTGCTGGAAAAAGACTTCGTCGTCCGGGTTGATTGGCTGCCTGATGCGTATCGCGTCGATGGATCGCATTTGTTAGGAGAGATCATCATTGAGCGCGGGCCGAGATCATCAAGCGGGAGGTGGAGCGGCGATTTGAAGTTTCGTGTATCTCGCTCGCTCCGCACAAGCAGACAGTGACGCTGCGATATTTGCAGCGCCAGGATGCCCATCCACTGAAGTTTCGCCAGCTCGTAAGTCATTTCTACCCACTGCTAGCCATTTATTTCCATTTAGTATTGCGTTTCTGCTGCATGCTGTGCATTGATTTATCCACAAAGTTTTTTTAAGCAGGTGTTCTTTGGACTTTTTAATTTGTTTTGGTTCGATTTTTTTATGGCTTCTTGTGTCCAAGAAAAGCGATTTGAGCTTCGAGCGTTGAGTTAAGAAAGAGATTAGAGTTTTGCTCGGTAGAGTTAAAAATTCTGTTACTCGTACTTTTGGGCCGTTTTCCAAACGAATTAAATGAATTGCATTTAAAAATCAAAATAAATTAAAAATCAAATTTTTATTTGCGCGTAATTTTTGATTTGAATGAGCGTAATTTGCGAAAACAATGGAGATAAACCAAACAATCCTTTCAGGGCACATTTTCCCCCTCCAAATTAAAAAAATTCTCATGTTGAATTTTATGAATTTGGAGGGGGAAAATGTGGCCTGGTTAGTCACAACATGTGGCGTTGTTATGTGGCCTGGTGGCGAACCTAAGAAACCTAAGAAACCTTCACTACAATGAAGAATCTGCGTAATTATTTACGCTGCACTTGTTTGGATGAGTTATATGGTTGGTTGCATGCAGAGGTGTACGCCTGGGCGCAGCAGCAAAACGCCAGCCCAAGCCCATCTCCAACTGACTCGGCGATGCTGTATGACATGGCCACTGAGACACCGGAAAACGGTATCGGCGTGCCGATTCCGCCGGTGCTCCAGCTGGAGGTCTTGCGCTCGTTGAACTCCATCCAGCGCTTTCGCTGTCGGCGGGTATGTGCCTTATGGTACACGTTGCTCACCACGGACGGACACTTTCCCGATGTGCACCTATCCGGGAATGCGGCGTACCCCGAAATGTCGTTCCATCCGCGCGATGTGTATTGGTCGGTGGCTGGATTGCTCAAATGTCTCAGCCGCTCAACCAGGGTGGTAGTTCTTTGCATGCTAGATTCATATCAGACCAACCATATCATCAGCCTCAGCAGGCACCGGCCGCCTCCAGGCGCTGGTGATTCACGGCAACAGCTTTGGGCTTGGTTTGGACGATCCTGGTTTCCCTTGTACCTATCTTATACGCAGCATAAAGGATCTGCTCGAAAGGTGTTCGCCCCTCGCCGACAGAGTGATCTTTAAGGACTGTAGCATGCAGGATGATCATCTGCGAGCAGCTGTAGGGCTGTACGTCTTTAACAGGCAGTCGCGAGAGGAGACGGAGCGGCAGCTGTGGGACCTTTTTGAGAACGGCCTGCTTCTGCACAAGCCGCCGAATCGACCGGCAGTGGCGGAATGGATTGATGGCTGGCTGAAGGATGCCCTGAAGGATTACCACCCGCCCGGGGGGAACAACGTCCCCGATGGGATTGATGGTTGGATAGAGGATGACATGGAGGACTACGAGCCGACCGGACATTTGATTGTCAGAGTACGGTTTGTTTGACAAAAATGCAAGCCGAAGTCGTAAACCTCTGCAACAACTGAGTGGCGCCAATTAACCCATTTTACGGTTCCGTCATCAAACACGATTCCATCGCTAATCCCCCGTCGCGTACCAGTATATTCGGCACTGGTGCTCGTAAATGAAACGTTACCATTGCATACCGACGTATTTTGACGCATAATTTCCAGATTCACACGATACATCGGCAACGTTTTCAGTTCAAGTTTTCCGTCGATGAAGCCCATTCGGC